GGATTATGTACTTTATTAGATTCTCGTTATTTAGAGTCACGTTTTCGAAGTGATATTGCTAAATCTCAAGAGTGGTGGCACTCAATTATTCCCAAATATGATGACATTAGATTTAAAAAAATTATGAGAATGGATTCTCAAAGCTTTCAAAGTCTTATAAATAATATTGAAATACACACAGTTTTTCAATCAACCGGTAATAAACAGCAAGCTCCAGTTGAATTACAACTAGCTATTTTTTTACGAAGAGTTGAGTCAAAGGATGATATTTTTAGTATATGTTCATGATATAGTATTTCAGAGGGCACAGTTTACCTCTATTGTAAGAGAATCATGCTGGCTATTCTTTCATTAAAAAGTTCATTAGTTGTATTGCCAACAGGACAAACAAGAAAGATGGTTCATTCAGGCTTTAAAGATATTAGAGGATTTAACAATGTTATTGGTGCCATTGATGGTACTTGATAATTGAGAAATAGATGATAATAATAGTAATAATAGTGATGATAGTGACGATGATAATGATGATAATAATAATAATTATGAAGGTAATTTAAATGAAAATTCATTAAAAAGAGCAGAAGAAATAAAAAGAGATCAAATAATAAATCATTTATTTAACAAAATTAATAAAATTTTCAATTTAATCAAAAAAGATTTATTATTATTATATTATAATATAAAACTAAAAACTAAAATATTATATTAATCTTTTTTATATTTTAATTCTAATTCCTTCACCTTTAAATCATATTTCATTTTCATTTTTTCCTTTTCACGTTCTCTTTCATATACTAATCTTTCTTATTCAATTTTTAATCGTTCCTTTTTTAACTCATGACTTTTATCTAATTTTCTTTTTTTAACATCATTTTTTGCTCCCAAATTTTTTCATGTGTTTGACTCATTTCAGCTATTATTATGATCATAACTTCAACATTATTTTTGTTCTTTTGTTTTTTATTAAACTTTTTAGTTTCAATTTCCTCCTCAATCATAATATCTGTTGATTTATTAGCCAAAAATAAAGGTGATATATTTTCACGTGTCCCAAAAATTATATCTAGCTTATCATACCGTTTCCAATCTTTTCATTCTACTCCAGATTGATTATTATGCTTCTTAACATTTTCATATTTTTTATTAAACGTGCAAGTTTACCTTAAATAATTTAAAAAAAAAATTAAAGATTAAGATATTTGCTTATAAAGAAGCAAAATAAAAAACTTACTCTTTATTGCAATTACTTCTTTATTTGGTAAAATATTCTTTACCATATCATTATAAATTTAATTTTATTCCCTTTAGACCAAGATATGAAATTTTCTTGAAAATAATCAAGTAAGATCTCAATTTCACTATTTTTCTAACCAGATTTTTCATCAGAATCTTGATCTTTGTCATTATCATCTTTTTTTTTAACATGAGATTGTTTAGAAATACAGATTTTTTTAGGCTGAGAAATTTTATTATCTTCTTTAAACTAAAATAAATTTTAATAAATATTTTATATTCGCAGTTAAAATATAAATTACAAAACTTACCAAATAAGTTTCATCATAATTTTCATTTAATTCAATTAAAATAGGAAACGAATTATAAAATTGAGAATCGTATTGCTGTTGAAAAACACATTGCTCTTGAAGAGGAAGATGTTGAAAAGGAAAGACATATTGCTATTGCTTTTAAAGCTAGCGTCACTGCTGCTGAGAAAGTTCAGAAAGTTGCTATTAAGGTTGAAAAAGAATATTTTGTAATTGTGGTTCAATAAGAACTGGTTTAGGTAAAATAAATTGCAGAATAAATGAAGTTAAATGTGCTTTTTTTTTTAAGTTTTGGCTCCATAAAAAAAAGCAGAAGAATTAGAACATTAAGTTGAAGTTTTTTCATTAAATTGTAATTGGTTCATATTTAATAAGATTTTTTTAAAAGTATGTTAAACCGTGTTTTTTATGTGTTATTATAGCAATCAGGCAGTGGATAAAAATTCAATCAAAAAATTCCACCTTTTTTTGTTCGCAAAGTTCAGATTGTTGATCAGGTTACATAATTTTATCAGCCAATAATTATCAACTCAAAATCTGATCAAAAATCTGAACGATTAGAAATAAATTAGCCTAATATAACAACATATGGAATGTTCGTTCCTTCAGTCATATAATAATAATAAAGCTTCAATTACAACTCTTGTGACAAAATTGTATATCTATAATATAGATAAATAAATTTATTATTCATTTAAAATAGGAAAAATCCAGCTGTATCCAAATGAATTAAAATTGCTAATTGCTAACACAGGTCGAAATGGATACAAATCAGCTAAAAATCAGACGGACGATTGATGGATGATTGGTAGCTGATTTAGGGCTGATTTACATTAATTCTGATTGACACAATATGAGTCAATCAGAAATATTAATCAGTCATCAATCGTCTATCTAAAATCTGCCTAAAACAAGCTATCAATTATCTATCAATCGTTCGTCTGATTTTTAGCTGAAAATTTATTACATTTATTTCATTTTACAATTTCAGAAAATAATATTTTTTTATTAATTTTATTAATTTTATTCATTATGCGACAAGCAAATAGAAAATACTACTAAAAAATAAGCAAATTACTAAAAAAAAAAGAAAAGAAGAAATCATCGTTGTAATTGATAAATCATTATTATCGTTATCATTATTCAATCGCCTCCGATTTAAAACTAAAAAACTAGCAAATAAGCAAAAAATAAAATAAATTGTTCTACCTACCCTCCCATTTATAAAAAAAAATAAAACAAAATGCGAAAAAAAAGCAAATAAAAAACTTAAAATGTCTTATAAAAAAAGAACAAAATGCAAAAAAAAAGCAAAAAAAAAACTTAAAATATCCCACCTGCCCTTACATTTATAAAATAAAAAAAAATAAGCAAAAGAAAAAAAAATCGTTGTGTAGTCATCGAATCTACCATCTCGAGATGGTTATCGCCATTAATTATCTATCTCGAGATGGTCAAAATCATATTATTCATTGCTACTGACCGCCGATATTTACCCTCTTTCGACTTCGACAAGTTCTTTGTTATCCATAACATATTCTTCTTCATCCGATTTTTTGACGTCAGTGTCAAAGAATATGTTCTTTTGTTCGATTCAAGACCATTCGGAGGCATTCGAAGGATGCGTCTGGTCAAAATGCTACACCTGGTCATTGTATATTCAATTTCGTTGTGCTCTTGCCGAAGTGACCGAGGTTGCAGCATTTTGATTGAGTACACTACAAAGGAGATTTTTTAGCTAAAATAATAAAAAAATGTTTAGTAATTTACTAAAATTTATAAATAAGATTTTTTTTAAAAAATAGTAAACCTCGACCGATTGCCACGAGAGATCATATACAGTGATGACAGACTTTCATTCTGGGTCGTCTTCATTTGTCTCACTTATTTCAGGAGAATGGTATAGGTGATCGGCCAGCATTTTCAATAAAGACTGCTTTTCATATTTCGTAATTCGTATGTCATTGTTCGCAAATAATCATTTAGCAGTCTTTACTCGTCATAATTTTTTCTAGAAATAATAAATTAAAATTAAATAAACTTAATA